TGCCGCTTGTGCCTTGTTGCTTGGTTTTCGAGCGAAAGCCCTCTTCAGCCGTAGGGGTTGCAAAAGCGGCTTCCATTAGGGGGGATGAGGATTTTTTGGGTTTCGGGTCGAGTGTGGAGTTTTTGCGTCCTGATGGTTTTTTGCTGACCAGGGTGAAGGTTTCTGGCTTGGGGCTTGGGGCTTGGGGCTTCGGGTGTAATTGCTCTTTTAGGGTTTGCGGGTTTGGGGACCAAAACTTTGGGCTCTCTCGAGTTTTTGTTCCGGTTTCAGCGTTTATGCTTTGGGTATGCGGTTTACGGGTTAGGGGTGTCGCCATTAGGGCTTGCATTTCTTGGTCGCTTCTTAGTCGCTGAGTTCATAAGCGCAAAAAATGCACACTTTCAGTTTTATAGTGGATACTCAGCCACTAAGATTTTAGTGAGGAGCCTTTTGCAGTTAGGCTTTTGAGGTTTCCAGATTGGGAGGAAACAAGCCTTGCCCCTTCTTCGGGAAAGGATGTCCCGGGAGTCGCCTTTGAAATGGGGGCTTACCTCGGTTTGCACAGCTTCCTATTGGCACCCAAAGACCTGATGACGACGTCAACAAGAGGCAGCTCGTGTCATGTTGAAGTCAGTGATTTTGCAGTTGACACCCCTCCCTACTCGGCTGCAGTGCTACAAGCTTGCAGATTGACACACACACACACAAATCACCGTTTCTCTCAGGATTCAAGTGCCACAGTCCGCAGCAGGTTGTTGCCTGAGGGCTCGGCTTTGGAAGCGTGTCTGGAAGCCTCATCAGGTGACGAGACGGCCAGAAGATGCGAGAAATAGACGGCGCTACGCTGAGAGATTGGCTCACTCCAGGGCCAAGCCGTCCAAACGGTGAGCAGCTTCGGGGGTGCCGACCGGAGCTCGACCTGGTCTGGCAGAGTCCCCACAAGTGCGCACCTGTTGCCTTTCCAAGGAGTGAGCATTGAGCAGAGTTTTGGATTGCGTCACGATCTGCAAGGGAATGTCAGCCTCGACCGATGAACCTGCACAAAAAGCAGCTTCGATCTCCTTTGAAGCATGTTCCTTTGCAGCAGGCTTGCGCATCGATCAGCTGCACCTGTTGCAGAATCGAAGGCCAGCAAGCTCACCGAGACCATGATCAGATCCCTGGCAGTGCAGCTTTGAATGCAGCTGGGGCCGCATGCTGATTTCACAACAATCGCGCAAGTATGGAGTCACTTCCTGCACAACTGCAATACCGGGAGTCTCTGTGTTGAGCCTGTTTTACGGGTGCTCAATGCTGCCTGTCCTTCTGACCAACAGTGATTCCAGCTGCCCTAGCTTCCCGCTCCTCGATTGTCGTTTACGGGTCTGCTGGCTGACGTCTGCGCGTTGTTCAGCCCACCATCAATATATTATTCTCGGTGTCTTTCTCGAGATTACCAACTTCCATGCCACTCGACGAGGTGGAAAGACTTTGCAAGTGTTTTTCCTGGGCTGTCCATCCAGTAGTAACGAGACTGGAACAGCTTTGTGAAAGCAGCTCATTCCACACCGATCTGCGGGCTAACCCATCGCACCTGTCTTCTTGACAGGCCTGATTTTGCATCTCCAGCGCGGCGCCTTTTTATTTTTACGCCTTACATTTCCCAGCATTGCCCTTTGGACATGCAAAGCCAGTGGTCGCTTGCGTGTGAATGCCCAGCCCCGCGCAATGCACCGCAAGAGACACGCAACCAGGTGCCGCAAAATAGCAGTGGACGGGCCTTGGCGGGAGGCTTCGTTGCCAAGGGCTCCGGTCCTGATGCATCCAACGCCATCAAATCTACTGCCGTACGCGTCAACTCTTGATTGTTGCAACGGCTTAGGTCATGGCAGCCGAGAGAAGCTGGGTCGCCACAAGCGGAACCATGGTGTTCTGAGCCTGGTCTCAAGCAGGACTCTGGTACTGAATGTGCAAATCAACCTAACACTGCAGATTGCACATTGAGTGCAGTGCATACGAGGGCAAACCAGACCAAAGCCAGAGCGCGAGCGACTGGACCCACCGGCTGGCCGAGTGCATACCTCAGCTTGAAACAGTGAACTTTCAACGCCCATATCGCAATCGAGCACCGCATCGTGCTGCTACTGCTGATCTGGGAAAGCCTTACACTTACACCCAACAAGCACCCCTTCGACAAAAGGCCCTTTAAATTACCTGACAGTACAGGACAACACCGAAGCAATGGCAGTCAAACCCGCCCCTCTCCCTGAGGCTTGGTCTGCCTTCTGCTGAAGCAACGTAGGCAGTGGGGCCCTGTACCTGCCCAAGGCATGCAATTCTGAAAGGATGTCGGGCCGGGAGCCCGCGCGCACTCGTGTTCGAGACAGCAAGGCTTCTGCGGTCACCTCAGGCATGGTCGGCTCTAGTCCATACCTCGAGCACTCCCGAATTCTTGAGTTCCAGCGATACTCGACGTGCTTAAGCGGGTGTAGCAGCAGCAGCAGCAGCAGCAGCAGGAGCAGCAGCAGCAGGAGCAGCAGCAGCAGCAGGAGGAGGAGTAGTAGTGGTGGTAGTAGTAGTAGTCGTCGTCGTCGTCGTAGTAGTTGTAGTAGTCGTCGTCGTCGTAGTAGTTGTAGTAGTCGTCGTCGTCCTACTAGTAGCAGCCGCAGTTTAAGTAG